GGTTTGTTCTCTAACGTCCACACAAAGCCAGGACTCTTCTGGTGCCAGCGTCTCTTTTATAGTAATAAAGAAGTTCCTTCATCTCACCTTCAGGTCTCTGTGGATGAGCATCCTGGAGTGAATGTGCTCGACTCCGCTGACGATTTGCAGCGCAATGATCAGACTTTCTTCTTTCCTCTTAGAGTCTCTCAGAGATTTCTTTGGATTCTGAATGTTTTTCTCGTCTATCCACACCCTCAGAGTTTTTACTGCACACAACTCCATCTGCATGTAGAGGAGCTTCGCAGGCGAATCAGTGGAGGACCTAAAGAAAAGCAAAACCGTGAAATTTCCACCATGATTAAAAATGAAATAAACAGGAGCGGAGAAAGCTGCGGGTTTACTGTGAGGCGCTGCTGCTTTCAGCTGAAGAGTCCCACTGATGGTCCACGTCGCTGATCCAACACGAGTGGTACCGAACAATGTTACAGTGGTTGAGATCCGACAAAGCCATCGCCTCTTGTAGAGTTTCTCTAAATAAAATCAAGATGATAAATTGACAGAAATAGACTTTTATGATACAATTGCTGCATTTTTTTATACAAAAATAAAAATAACATCAAAGGCTTGACTTACTTTTTGTAGTGTACAACCTTCACTGCATAAAACTTATCTTCCAGTTTGTGTCTTGCCTTGAAAACATGACCAAAACTTCCTTTTCCGAGGCGCTCCATAGAGTCATAGTCCTCTTTAAACCTGTTATTACTAATCCAGAAAGGTTAAAATGACATTAATTATTTTGTAATAAAAGTTGTAGGATCCACTAAATATTAGAGGTATGACTAAAAACACACAAACTAGTCAAAGGTTCTACTTCAGAAAAAAAAAGTCATACCTTGAAAATGATGCAGTGGTTCGGGTTTTTGCTCTGTGAGAATCTCTTTTCTCCTTAACTTCAAAATTAATTATACCCTTAAAAAAACAAACATTAATAAAACCATTAGGATTATTATCTATAATAATAAAAGCAAACAAGAAAACCAGCTGATGAGATTAATGTGCTTTTACTTTACCTCTTTACTGCGGTCATCAAGATGGTGGAAATTTGGTGCAAGTCTATAAAAAAAAAAGATAATCAGCAATAATATAAATTAAAGGTGTGGTTCACTTGTTTAATCAATACATATGCAGTGGTCTCTAGTAGGAAGGAATGCCTTGTAAGTTGTACTCTGGGGGAGAAAAGCTCCGGGGCACCCGTTTCAGAAACTAGCAGTGAGCCAGATTAGAGATGAGCTCAGACGACAGGATTTGGAGTCTTACTTCCTGATTTTTGGACATCTCTTCTCTGATTGGATAACAACGACACAACTATACCACTGACTCTGTTTTTCAACACTCGTGTTTTATCTCCACAAATAACACAAGCCTGGAGGAGTTCTGCTGTGTGGTGGAGTTGCTAACGCTAAAGGTTAGCTTCTACCAGTTGAGACGCTTTCTGTTGTTTCCTGAACGCTAAACCAACGACAGCCTTTACCCATCGTGAGTCAAGATGGGTGAGTCCATGAATGTTAAGTGACAGTGTGACGTAGATCTGTCAGGCTTTCAAATTATAGAGTTTCACCGTCTATTTTCTATCAGAAGCTAAAGCAGGAGATAGGTGTAGGAGACTATTTTCACGTTCAGCCTGCATAAAAAACTCAGAGTGACCGATTATAAACATAAATAATAATTAAAAAAAGCTTTTTTCCGTTTTGCACACCTTTAACGTCGTGCACAGCTCTATTGTTATAAAAAAAAAAGAGTCTTACTTTATTTTGGGTTTAGCGCCAGGACTCTGAACCCTCTGAAGAAATGCAGAGAAACATTTGGTAATAAGCAGTCATTCAAATACAAAACAAGATTCAAATCGGAATAGTTTAAGGCAGCAGGCCCAGAAAACAAAATTTAATTTCTAGAAACATAACCCCGGCTTTCCACAGGAGCCGTCAGCAGCGCGTCATAGCTGCTGATAGGAACCGCTGTGGTCAACAGAACCTTTTCCACTGGAGCCGTCAGCAGCGCGAGTTGGCCATGTCTCAGGAGCAGCATGTCGCGGCCTTTACGCGCCGGTTCTATTTCCTACGCGCGACGCCTCTGAAACGGGTCAAGTTCGACATTTTTGGGGAAGGAAAGACAGGAAATCGGACGCGGAAATGGAGAGAAGCACCCGAGATTTTCAGAATAAAGAACGTACTGCCTTCCGGTTGCTTTACTTTTAAAGAAGGTTACTAACTGTGCGGCCCCGTGAGAAGTTATCACCTAGCTAGCGGTCTCCTTTGATTTTCAGGTCCGTATTGGCAATTATAAAACGGACAGAACATAAAACACAAACCATGTTGTAGTTTTCTCCCGCTTGTTGTTGTGTTTACTGACGAAGTCACTCGTGTGACTTCCTGCTCGGTCGGTGACAGCTGCTCCCCTGCTGCTTCGCGTCTCGTGGGAAGGGCCGAGCAGCAGCTTACGCGAGCAAGACGTGCTGCTGCAGTAACGCGCTGCTGACGGCTCCCGTGGAAACCCGGGGTAAGAATCATAACGGTGGAGCTACAGGGGTGACTTCACATAAACGTGGTAGAGGCAGAACCGACCTGATTGGGGGTTTTAGGTGAATCCTTGAAAACATCACTGCCTCCTGTAGTTGGTGCCATGCATTTGGACTCTCCATGTCCAGCGTCCCTAAAAGAAGACAAAAGGACACATTAAGATGAGATTAATTCTCTGTATTAAATTTAATGTCTTGCTACAGGCGGCCACTGACTCACTGTAAACTTGATGGAGGAGATCCTTTCACATGTAAACCTTCATCAGACGCAGCAATCTGAAAACATGAGAAGCAGAGGGAATCAGTCAGTGTGTTTATGACCCAGTCCACACGTAGCTGGGTTTTTTTTTAAACGAATATCCGCCTCTCCAAAAACTTGCATCCACACCACCTCGTTTAAAAAAATAAAACTCTGTCCACACGTACCCGGATAAATACGTTGTTAAGGACATGCCAGACCTGTAGGCGGCAGTACTTCCCCCGTTCTTAACCTCGTCCTTCGTCTGTGGTCTTCCGCAAGGAGCAGTAATTCCGCTTGCAAAAACAAACAAGCAGAAAGCGCTTGGACAATTGATAAAGCGAGCGCAGCTCTGAGGGCATCCATGCTGTCGGCTAGTGTAAACACAGGTCGCACGCGTGATGTCAGCATTTTTTTGTCGCGGAAAGTGACGTTGCGGACCTTAAAACTCCGGTTATGTCCGTCCACACGCAGACACCCAAAACGGAGAAAACGCAGATCTTCACTTTGGCCGGAGTTTTTAAAAAGATCCGTTTTCGTGTGAAAAAACTCCGTTTTCGTGTGGATGACAGGCCAGAACGTAGAAAAATATCTACGTTTTGGCAGATCCCCGGCTACGTGTGGACAGGGCCTACCTGTGCATCCAAGTCGATCTAAGGCCATGAACCGGGAGTCTTTATCCTAGTTTACACGTACGTTAGAAAATCTAACTCTTGACTGAACTGTGTTCCACTCCACTATAGAAGGTTCATTCTTCTGCTTAGCTTTTAGCAACACAAGTAGTGAACAAATCCCCGACGGGAGTGAAGCAGACGAACTTAAAACGGGATATGCACAACGGCCAAAAGAATGGACAACAACGCTGCAGCACAGCTGATTGGTGCGTACTGGACTGCTTGATGGTGTTGCACGTCGTACTTTGTGGGGATGATATCATCAGAAGACCATTTCAGCTGTCTCATCACTTCCGGAAGAAGCCAAATCCCAATACTCGCACCTAAAGTAAATATTTAAATAATGCCAATACGATGAGGCTCAGCTTTTAGGTACCTTGCTGTCCCAGCCCGGTTGCTCTTTAAGAGCAGGCCAGGCCAGCTGAGCAGCGTGTTGTTTGGCCTCCTTGATGCTCTTACCCTCACCAACAGGGTATTCCTTGTTGTCCATCACTAATCTGAAGAAAAATCTGCAACAAACAGGGAACAAATATTTAGATTCATGCTTTCGTTCTTTTTAAACACAGAAACAGTTTTGTTTACCTGTTTTGTAGCTACAGTTTCGCCGACGGCTGCCGTCGGCGAAACTGTAGCTACAAAACAGGTAAACAAAACTGTTTCTGTGTTTAAAAAGAACGAAAGCATGGATTTAGAAAGACACAGCAAGAACACACCTAAGATGTTCAAATATTTAGATTACTGCATTGATGTCATGTCTGCTGTGAGCTCTTAGTGATGGGCGTCATGGTTACTCACATTTGGCAGTGTGAGGGGCCGCATCGCTTCTCTTCTTTAAAAACACAAGAGCGCCTCGTTCTCTGACAGAAACCGTGGATCAGTTCTAAAATGTTTGTGTCTGAAGCGCTGATGTTGTCGTTCTTTATGCTCAAGCGTGTTATCTGATCACTGAAACAAAATGAGAAGAATAAACCTGACTGTAAACCACATAGAGGTAAAGGAAAATGGAATTTGCACATTTAATACGGAAGAATTAAAGGAAATGTTTGTGCTCGCCTGATATGTGACACAGATTTCTCTGATTCGTGGAGACTCGACATACCGCTGTCTCCACCTCTAGCCTAGAGAAGCAGAACGTTATTTAACTCAGACGTGAGAATTTAAATATAACGTTTGGTCAAATTAGGATAAATGAACGTTGGCAAAAGGAGATCCGAGGCACTCAGGAGATACAAAATAAAAAGCCTTTATTAGTACATGACTCAAATAGTTAAAAACATAGATGCCGACGCGTTTCAGCCCACAGGGCCTTCGCCAGGGCTCAAAATGTTTGTATGTGCTCTCACTTTCATGTTAAGAAGGCTAATCAGTGACACCTGCCGAAGCTGGGCAGGTAGACAGCATTCTGATTGGATGACCAGTATTACACAAAAAACTTTTTACATCTAAACAATCCTATTGTAAGGATGAATACTTACAAATATTACATTTCACTTATAGAATTTGAGAAAAATTATAAATATGGTACACAAATGATAAGAAAACCTGAGATTATAAATAAGGAGCGAAATCTAATTCTCCATTAAGACCTGGGAAATTAGCAGCTTTTAGTGTGTAAATCCAAAATGATTCTCTTTGCAAGAGTTTTTTAAGCCTATCTCCTCCTCAGTTAGAGGAGGAGATATGTGTACCATATTTATAATTTTTGTACTAATAAAGGCTTTTTATTTTTGTATCCTGAGTGCCTCAGATCTCCTTTTGCCAACATTTATGTGGATCCCTTGGCTGAAGAGCACCGGATAAAATTTCTTACACCCCTGCAGCACTTCCAGCTTTTTTTCTATTTTCATTAGGATAAATCAATGCTTACATCTAAAGTTTTGCTGCCAGTTATCTCCTGATATACTAGCTTAGCGGCTTCCTCTTTAGCTTCCTTCTTCGTTCTCCCGGAAGCAGCTGGGTACTCCTTCCCATCCACCACAAACCTGCACCTACTAATGAACAAAACAAAAGCACTCAATTATTTGCTAAATTCAGACTGAAACTACAGTGGGGCAAAAAAGTATTTAGTCAGCCACCGATTGTGCAAGTTCTCCCACTTAAAATGATGATAGAGGTCAGTAATTTACATCATAGGTACACTTCAACTGTGAGAGACAGAATGTGAAAAAAAAATCCATGAATTCACATGGCAGGATTTTTAAATAATTTATTTGTAAATCAGGGTGGAAAATAAGTATTTGGTCACTTCAAACAAGGAAAATCTCTGGCTCTCACAGACCTGTAACGTCTTCTTTAAGAAGCTTTTCTGTCCTCCACTCGTTATCTGTATTAATGGCACCTGTTTGAACTCATTATCTGTATAAAAGACACCTGTCCACAGCCTCAAACAGTCAGACTCCAAACTCCACTATGGCCAAGACCAAAGAGCTTTCGAAGGACACCAGGAAAAGAATTGTAGACCTGCACCAGACTGGGAAGAGTGAATCAACAATAGGCAAGCAGCTTGGTGTGAAAAAATCAACTGTGGGAGCAATTATCAGGAAATGGAAGACATACAAGACCACTGATAATCTCCCTCGATCTGGGGCTCCACGCAAGATCTCATCCCGTGGGGTCAAAATGATCATGAGAACGGTGAGCAAGAATCCCAGAACCACACGGGGGGACCTGGTGAATGACCTGCAGAGAGCTGGGACCACAGTAACAAAGGTCACCATCAGTAACACACTCCACCGGCAGGGAATCAAATCCTGCAGTACCAGACGTGTTCCGCTGCTGAAGCCAGTGCATGTCCAGGCCCGTCTGAAGTTTGCCAGAGAGCACATGGATGATACAGCAGAGGATTGGGAGAATGTCATGTGGTCAGATGAAACCAAAGTAGAACTTTTTGGTATAAACTCAACTCGTCGTGTTTGGAGGAAGAAGAATACTGAGTTGCATCCCAAGAACACCATACCTACTGTGAAGCATGGGGGTGGGAACATCATGCTTTGGGGCTGTTTTTCTGCTAAGGGGACAGGACGACTGATCCGTGTTAAGGACAGAATGAATGGGGCCATGTATCGTGAGATTCTGAGCCAAAACCTCCTTCCATCAGTGAGAGCTTTGAAGATGAAACGTGGCTGGGTCTTCCAACACGACAATGATCCCAAACACACCGCCCGGGCAACAAAGGAGTGGCTCCATAAGAAGCATTTGAAAGTCCTGGAGTGGCCTAGCCAGTCTCCAGACCTCAACTCCATAGAAAATCTGTGGAGGGAGTTGAAAGTCCGTGTTGCTCGGCGACAGCCCCAAAACATCCCTGCTCTCGAGAAGATCTGCATGGAGGAATGGGCCAAAATACCAGCTACTGTGTGTGCAAACCTGGTAAAGACCTATAGTAATCGTTTGACCTCTGTTATTGCCAACAAAGGTTATGTTACAAAGTACTGAGTTGAATTTTTGTTATTGACCAAATACTTATTTTCCACCCTGATTTACAAATAAATTCTTTAAAAATCCTGCCATGTGAATTCATGGATTTTTTTTCACATTCTGTCTCTCACAGTTGAAGTGTACCTATGATGTAAATTACTGACCTCTGTCATCATTTTAAGTGGGAGAACTTGCACAATCGGTGGCTGACTAAATACTTTTTTGCCCCACTGTAGGTGCAGGGATGAGACCTACTGAGTTGCCATGTTTGGTCCGAGACTGGTTGTCTCCTCTGGTTTAATAGACAGATGGTTTCTCTGGCCATATTCATTGAGCCAACCTATGCAGTTGAAGGTTTTGAGCTGACTTGCTGCGACTGGAGATGCTTCCACCAAATGTTCTGTCTGTGGAGAAACAAAACGACACACGTCCAGCATAAAAACACAAAAACGTGAGCTTACCGTAGTTTGAATAAAAAAAACTCTCTTACAGACTCAATGGCTTCATCCAATAAGACCATCAGGGCGTTTTTAGCAGCATTTTGTTTGGCTTCTTTCTTGTTCTTCCCATCACCAGCAGCATATGACTTCCCATCCACGACCGCTCTTAAAGTAAACCTGGAAAATGAAAAAAAAATAAATTGTTGTTTATTACGCCTGAAATATTACTATTACTGGGAGTACACTGTGTATTTTTTGGCCTATTTTGAGCAGATTTAACTCTTGTGCAAGAATCTTTGAGGTTAGGGCAAGTTTTGCATCATGTAGCCAACTGGGGGTGATGAGAGGCGATTACCAACTCACAACCAGCTCCCAATCAGCAATCGTGCATTTGCACAAATATCGAGCATCTTTGATATTTTGCTCCTCCCTCGTGAGGGTATCACACCTTTAAAGCAGAACTGTGACCCAAATATACCAGAACCACTCACTCGGCATTTGCGTCAACGCGGCTGCACAGCTGTTTCTGTGTCTAAATATTTTATCTCTTTTATTTTGACACTTTTCTCTAGGGCCCGGCCGATAATATCGGCCGATATTGGGGCCATTAATGGTATCGGCTATCGGCCAAAAAGATGGCCGATGTTGCGCTACCTATCCAGCAGATGGCGCCAGCTTTATGAACGCGTGTGGATCCACTCCTTTGAACTTTGAACACAAATTATTGTTTTGGAACTTTTTTATTTATTTATTCTTATTTATGTTTCTTATGTGCAGTTATTTCCTGTCCAGGGTGAATAAGTTCAGCAAGTTAACTTCCACAGAGTGTTACTTTGTTACAAAGCACACGTATTATGTTTTATTTATCGCTGCATTTTTATTATTTTAATATTCTTACAGGGATCTTCTGTCCCTAAACGTGTGTGTGCTGTTAGACTCCCCAGAGTTAGCTAAGACAGGAAAAACATGTTGTAACCGGTTGTTTTAGCATAAAGCAATGGAAGGGAAGGCTTCACAGGTGATTTCACAGATCCTGATTATTATTGACCAACAGTTGTTTTGATTAGCTTTATTACAAATAAAGTTCTTTGATTAACTAATGAAAAGCGTTCTTCGTCCTTCTTCTTGTCTTCTTTGCTGGAATGTAAACATCAGAAGCACACGACCTTGGCAATTTATGCACACTGTCACTGTGTCAAAGGGCAGCTGTTAAGGGCAGAAAGGGCATATTCATAATGCTACACCTACATATAAAACACTACAATCTATGTGAATTCACTTACATTGTTTTATGCTAAACTAAGAAACCCACCTGCTGCCAGGTCATATTGGGCTGGTTATAAAAGGCTTTAACTCTGGGGAATCTTAACCAGACACAGTTTACTGAGTGGTGGAATATTAAGTTAAAATGTACTTGTGGAAACCACCGTTTACAAGGAAAAACTGGAATGTTAGATTTATGCTGTGGCTGAGTTTGTGTGTTCTGTTGTTTTTGAGATCTGCTAAATAAATCTTATTTGCATTACTTGGAAACCCGAGTGAGTTATGGAGACAGTTCTTTGGTGTGTAATACAGAAATAAGTTTGCATCAAAAAGGCAGAGAATGAAGGGTTTAAGCTTAAGAAGTTGTATTTATTTTTTTGTGAGGGAGATTTATCGGCCATTATACCGGCCTTTGTTAAAGGTTTTATATCGTCCCAAAAAAAGCATATCGGTCGGGCCCTACTTTTCTCCACACACAATGACGAGGATTAAGAAAGTGTGTTTTGCCGTTTATGTCAAATAAAAATAGATGCCAAAACATCGGCCGTGTTCGAGTTGAGCAGCGCCTCGCCTGGAAACAGACGAGAGCAGACGGAAGCAGCAGGGGGAGTGGATGAAAGCCGGCGTTTAAGTCGGACACAATTTCCTTCATGTGTAGCTCGCGGGTGACGATGGATGAAGATATCGTGTTAGTGTTCACACTTGTTTATTTATTTATTTTAATTCTGGTGCCTGTTAGCAGCTGAAACCCATCCTCACGTGCTTGTGGATATCGTATATTGTATATGGAGACATGACTGTACTAATAAGTAAAGGTTATCAGCTGTAGCTTCAGTGTGCTCATAGGAAACGTGACAAAAGAAAACAAAACACATTTCTCTTTATGGCCTATATAGTTGTCATCATCAACATAACATGATTGACAGAATACATGTGACCAACTAACATTTCATGTTCTACCACCGGATGTTTGGATCAAAATATGAACCAATCAGATCTTAGATCAGGTGAGAGCCAGGCGTTTCCCATCATGCTCTAGGTTTTGCAGCCGAGGGAGAGCAACTGCAGCGCCTTGCTCCAAAATCTGCGGCCGCCTTGATCTCACGAGGTTATTGTTGCCTACGTAGGCATGACGTCAGAGTAGGGCTGCACGATATTAGGGAAAACCTGCGATATTCGATAACAGTGCTTAATATTGCGATATCGATATTACTCACGATAAATGAACAAATACTAAAGTATGCAGTGTTGATGTCGTCTGACGTGTGACGTCTGCTCTGGGTTCAAAGCAAACAAAGACTAATGCATGAATTCCATTACAACATAACATTTTTATTGCAAAAATATGCAGCTGCACCTGCTACTGTATTAGCAGCTGCACCTGCTACTGCATTAGCAGCTGCACCTGCTACTGTATTAGCAGCTGCACCCGCTACTGTATTAACAGCTGCACCTGCTACTGCATTAGCAGCTGCACCCGCTACTGCATTAGCAGCTGCACCCGCTACCGTATTAGCAGCTGCACCAGCTACCGTATTAGCAGCTGCACCAGCTACCGTATTAGCAGCTGCACCCGCTACCGTATTAGCAGCTGCACCCGCTACCGTATTAGCAGCTGCACCCGCTACCGTATTAGCAGCTGCACCCGCTACCGTATTAGCAGCTGCACCCGCTACCGTATTAGCAGCTGCACCCGCTACCGTATTAGCAGCTGCACCCGCTACCGTATTAGCAGCTGCACCCGCTACCGTATACCGTATTAGCAGCTGCACCCGCTACCGTATACCGTATTAGCAGCTGCACCCGCTACTGTATTAGCAGCTGCACCTGCTACTGCATTAGCAGCTGCACCCGCTACCGTATTAGCAGCTGCACCCGCTACTGTATTAGCAGCTGCACCCGCTACTGTACTAGCAGCTGCACCCGCTACCGTATTAGCAGCTGCACCCACTACTGTATTAGCAGCTGTACCCGCTACCGTATTAGCAGCTGTACCCGCTACCGTATTAGCAGCTGCACCCGCTACTGTACTAGCAGATGCACCTGCTACTGTATTAGCAGCTGTACCTGCTACTGCATTAGCAGCTGCACCCGCTACTGTATTAGCAGCTGCACCTGCTACTGCATTAGCAGCTGCACCCGCTACCGTATTAGCAGCTGCACCCGCTACTGTATTAGCAGCTGCAACCGCTACTGTACTAGCAGCTGCACCCGCTACCGTATTAGCAGCTGCACCCACTACTGTATTAGCAGCTGTACCCGCTACTGTATTAGCAGCTGCACCCACTACTGTATTAGCAGCTGCACCCACTACTGTATTAGCAACTGCACCCGCTACTGTATTAGCAGCTGCACCCGCTACTGTATTAGCAGCTGTACCTGCTACTGTATTAGCAGCTGCACCCGCTACTGTATTAGCAGCTGCACCTGCTACTGTATTAGCAGCTGCACCCGCTACTGTATTAGCAGCTGTACCTGCTACTGTATTAGCAGCTGCACCCACTACTGTATTAGCAACTGCACCTGCTACTGTATTAGCAGCTGCACCCACTACTGTATTAGCAGCTGTACCTGCTACTGTATTAGCAGCTGCACCCGCTACTGTACTAGCAGATGCACCCGCTACTGTATTAGCAGCTGTACCCGCTACTGTATTAGCAGCTGCGCCTGCTACTGTATTAGCAGCTGCACCCGCTACTGTATTAGCAGCTGCGCCTGCTACTGTATTAGCAGCTGCACCCACTACTGTATTAGCAGCTGCACCTGCTACTGTATTAGCAGCTGCACCTGCTACTGTATTAGCAGCTGCACCCGCTACTGTATTAGCAGCTGCACCTGCTACTGTATTAGCAGCTGCACCCGCTACTGTATTAGCAGCTGTACCTGCTACTGTATTAGCAGCTGCACCCACTACTGTATTAGCAGCTGCACCTGCTACTGTATTAGCAGCTGCACCCACTACTGTATTAGCAGCTGTACCTGCTACTGTATTAGCAGCTGCACCCGCTACTGTACTAGCAGATGCACCCGCTACTGTATTAGCAGCTGCACCCGCTACTGTATTAGCAGCTGCGCCTGCTACTGTATTAGCAGCTGCACCTGCTAGTGTATTAGCAGCTACACCCACTACTGTATTAGCAGCTGCACCTGCTACTGTATTAGCAGCTGCACCCGCTACTGTACTAGCAGATGCACCCGCTACTGTATTAGCAGCTGCACCCACTACTGTATTAGCAGCTGTACCTGCTACTGTATTAGCAGCTGCACCCGCTACTGTACTAGCAGATGCACCCGCTACTGTATTAGCAGCTGCACCCGCTACTGTATTAGCAGCTGTGCCTGCTACTGTATTAGCAGCTGCACCCACTACTGTATTAGCAGCTGCACCTGCTACTGTATTAGCAGCTGCGCCCGCTACTGTATTAGCAGCTGCACCCGCTACTGTATTAGCAGCTGCGCCTGCTACTGTATTAGCAGATGCACCTGCTACTGTATTAGCAGCTGCACCCGCTACTGTATTAGCAGCTGCGCCTGCTACTGTATTAGCAGATGCACCCGCTACTGTATTAGCAGCTGCACCCGCTACTGTATTAGCAGCTGCGCCTGCTACTGTATTAGCAGATGCACCTGCTACTGTATTAGCAGCTGCACCCGCTACTGTATTAGCAGCTGCACCCGCTACTGTATTAGCACCTGCTACTGTATTAGCAGCTGCACCCGCTACTGTATTAGCAGCTGCACCCGCTACTGTATTAGCAGCTGCACCCGCTACTGTATTAGCAGCTGCACCCACTACTGTATTAGCAACTGCACCCGCTACTGTATCAGCAGCTGCACCCGCTACTGTATTAGCAACTGCACCTGCTACTGTATTAGCAGCTGCACCCACTACTGTATTAGCAGCTTCACCCACT